ACTACGTTACCGCCACGTGCCGCTGGGGAGGTAGGGGTCAACATGTCACAATATCAATATTACAACAAAATTATTTTGGACAAGTTGCCCAATCTGTTCTTCAGTGATCCAATACCAAGGTAGAGTGAAACTCCTGTTTAAGGTTTTTTGTGTGGACCAGTACATATGAACACTGAACTATAGAAAATTTCAAATGGATGTAACATAAAACTGAGTTTACTGAATTGGGATCATAGAAACTGCATGTTAAGTGAGGGAAAACCTTAATTTTAACAACACTAAATGGGGGTTTCACTATAATGACAGTCAGCTGTCCAGTGCATCAAGAACTGCAACATGTTACATCCTAAACGTCACCAGCAAGTTTCAACTGTAGGCACACCATAGGTGTGAAATATGTTAATGAAGAGACATGCATAGTCCTCTGAACATTAGAGTAAGAATATGCTCCTCAAGCACCAAGAATGAAGAACCTCAGACTATGAAGAGTACTGTATTCTGGGATTAACACTTTGTAGTCTGACAGGAATTTAGCAACATTCCTCTAAAATTCTGGTGAACTTCTATTAATCTACTCACTTATATCCAAGAATATGGTATTCTTGCCACTACAAGAACTTCAGATCTGACTTGGACTATGAGGCTATGAAATGGCAGTGAAACACAAAAACATGTATTACTATTTAATTACCTGTTAGTGGACTTTGTTTTTTCTCATGATGTATTACACTAATTTTCTGCCTTGAATATGATGACTGTTTACTTCTATTCCCAGAAATATTTGTTGACTGCTGCTGGAAAGCCTTGAAGCTTGAATTTTTTGGCTTCTGTTCTTGCATACTTTTCCTTCTTTCTGCTTGAAAGAACCTCTTTTCATCACTTTTATTCCTTGCTGATTTTGACAGTCTTTCTCTCTCATGAATATAGACTCCTTCATTTGAGCTTGTATCTACTTTTACACTAGTCAGATATTCAGTTTTACCATCTTCACACATAAAAAATGGATCTACTGTTGTACCACATGAAGAAGCAACAGAAGTTAAATTGATAACATCCAAGCTGTCATTTTCAGTGTCGTTTTTTGCTTTTAAAAGTTCAGTGAATCTCTTTACTTCTGCTAAACTTCTTGTTTCACTTTTTAAACAGACACTTTCTTTACTTATTTTTTCACTGAGGTCCTTTGGCATTTCCTGTTGTCTGTCCTGATTGTGAATTACAACAGATTCATCACAATTCGGATACATGACAGTTTGATCCTTGCTACAAATGCTTTCATGAGTGCAAATTTCAGTTTTAGAAGACACTGTTACCTTGCCCCGGTCATTCTCACGTATTTTTAATTTTCGATTTTTCTTTTTTCTTGCTTTTTCTCCTAGCTTTAGTAATAACTGGGGTACAATATCAACCCATGCTGGAAATTTCATATGAAACTGAGTGACACAAGCCGAGATGTTTGACTGATTGGAGACCCTAGCCAGTGCTTTCTCTTTTAATGGTACTGCAGGCTGCAATGAAGTAATGATTTGGTAAGTATTACACATGTACAAAATGTTGACAATGAAGACGTCAAGTTGCCTCTATATTAGAGACCACAATATGATGATAAAGAGGAGAGTGGTGGTAAAACTCCACAAATTTTGAACACTGGCATCAGACGAAGGCAAATGACCAAATTCAGGCCTTGGTAGAACATACATAGTAATATTCAGGCACAATTCCTTTTACATCTGAAAGGTTATTACCATTTATGAAACAACAAAGATACTTACATCAGCAATAATTTCACTTGCTTTCTTGGTATTGCAAAGAGCAAATTTTGATACTTCATCATCTTTCAGCTTCTGGAAAGGAAAAGCAACATTTCATTTGAAGATGCTATGTCTTCTACACAGCTGTATGTGACCAATGGTTCAAAGGAACTACTGTCTCTGTCTTCAAGGTAGAAGATTGAAGCAGCACGTTCCTGTGAAACCCTGGTAACTTTCTACTCAACTACACTGTATCATGTTCCAGAAAAAAATGTAATCTTCACTGTCATGCAGTGAGAACCTCAACTAAACCAGTCATGTCAAACTCATTACTGCACAAGGACCACACTGAAATAGCAAATGTTTTAAGCAGGGGTGGGCCATTCAACATCAAATCAACACAGAAAACAGATATTTCCAAATTCATCCCCTCAGAACTGAATAATCCTTTCTGAGATTGCAGTCCTAGACCACCTCTGTGGTCTAGTGGTCAGAGTTCCTGGATACAGAGCCAGAGGTCTGGGTTCGATTCCCAGCACTACAAGAGTTTCTGAGAAGTAGTAGGCCTGGAACGAGGTCCATTCAGCCTTGTGAGGATAATTGAGGAGCTATTTCAAGGAAATAGCAGCTCCAGTCTAGAAAACCGAAAATAATGGCCATGGGGACTCACTGTGCTGGCCATGAGACACCCTCTATACCAGCCGTGTCAAACATGCGGCCCCTCAACTTTTAGAGCTAATTGATATTAAAATCATTATCAAAATTTGAGTAGAAATATTTTTTGTAAAGACAATTTTCCAACAGACCAGAAGACAAAGTCTCATGCAGACATAAATTAGCAGGCTGCAGGAAAAGTGATTCTGGTAATTGCAGAAGGGTTTGTTCAACTAATGGTTTGTAAAGTTCGTGAAGGACAAACTATTGTATTTCAGAAGGTTAATGCACTAAAATCCGCACAGCCTCACCACCCCAAGTATCTCCAAGAATCCCTTTTGGAGGCATATTAAGAATGCAAGGAGGGTGGCAACTGACAGACAGGTGCAAGGGATTTCTACCTTCAAAGTAGCTTGCAACCCCCAGTCATTGTCAAATGGGCTGATAGCAAACTTTCACTTTTATGACCACTGAGACGAGATACACCTTCCTACTAGTCCGGTAGTCTCTTGTACATTGTCATTCAGTTCATTTTCTCACAGGCCAGGTGCTGATCTTACATTGTGATGAACATATAAAGGTTATAATTGAACATTAAATTATCAACTACGAGTTTTCTTGCATATGTACAGTAACTTTTAAAGGGCAATGTCGCTCTCAAAAAAATTCAAGTAGCAAAAAAAGAACTACTGAAAGTGAGCGTCGTGTTTTTCAAGAAAAATGGGAAATTGCTTATTTCTGTTATGAAATAGAAGGTAAAATTACATGTTTGATTTGTGGGCAAAATATAAGTGTTCCACTTTACGTAATTATATTGAAATTATGCCTAAATAATAAATAGAATTAAATTTCCTTGTATCAAAATCTAATGTATATTTCTATTTTGAAGTGCGGCCATGGACTATTATTTATAGGGCTGAGGTGGCCCTCTGTACAAGTTGAGTTTGACATGCCTGCTCTATACTAATGTTGGTGCTAACTCTGCAGACAAGTGGCGGTCGCTTGGTCGGCATAGTTTGCTTGCGGACTGAAACCACGGAGTTTGTTTCTGTTATTTTTTTTGAGATTGTAGTCATAATGCAGATAAACATTCCTGCCCAATATTACTGCTTTATGACCACTACAATTTTGACAGTGGGCATCCACATTAAAAAAAGTTTTGCAGCACAAGTTGTCTTAGAAAAATTTGTACAAATTTTGCCCTAACTGTAAGACACTGAGCTCATTTTATGCTCTTTCAGAGCTAACAAAACACACTATAAGACACTGAAATGTGGCTACTGTTTAGACAGCAAGTAGTTGAATGGCTCAGCAATGCAAACCTTCAATATAGGCCCTTCTCACTTCCATGCTCAGACCAAAGAGTAGCTGAAAGGTTGGGTTTTCATTTTTTCCTGCTAAGTTGTCCTAAAAATACTGGTAGAACTAGAAATGTCAGAAAGCAACTGCAAAGGATTGTACCACAGGATCACTGTCTGGATAACAACAGACTAGCTGGGAGCCAAGTACATTACCCCACCTACCACTCTCTTATGACATGGAAACAATATGGTTCACTATGCAAGAAACAAGGACTGAGACAAAGGCCTCTTGGTATGACTAGCTGTTCAGAGTCACCAAGACATGTAGAGGGCATTGCATGCAGCCCAAGAGCCATCACTATGGCATGCCTGCACTAAACTACTTCATGTTGTCAGAAAAAAAATTCTACTGCAGGAATTGATTAAAAATATCTTTTATCAAAGACAGCAGTAACATTTTTCAAAGCCAGGAAATAATGAGGCATATTTCTTAATTTATACATTTAATGCCATATTCTGCATACAAAGTGGCAGAATGTCATTTACTGCTCTCATAAAAATGCAAAAGGCAGGAAGGTGACAAAAATGGGGAAACTTTGCAGGAATAATGCCTGGAAATACCAACCTTTAAAATAAGCATTTCTTCCATTAACCTCTCAGCTTTTTTGTTATACTTTTTCTTCTGTTCCTCAGGACCATTTCTGCTTTTTAACCGCCTTGATTCACGAATCAGCTTATTAATTGTGTAAAGTTTAGCTTTCCTAGCCTGCTGCCGCATTGAAACAATCTGTAAACACAGACTGCATCTTATTAAAACATAAATATGACATAACCAGGTGCATTAACATATTTTACTAAATCATGCTAACCAAGATGAGCTACAATTCTAATTTCTGAACATTGGGAAGGAGCTTGGAAGGTAAATATTACTATGTAAAAGGTAATGCTGTCCCTGTGCTTAACTAATTAAGCACTGTGCCATGAGGGTATACAGGGATGTCGATGTATAAATCCACCTTTTCTTGACCTTGGCAGTAACTGGAGGTGAGTGGTCAGCTTCACGCCTGGCTGCTTTACCCCCAGTGAAATGGCTCCTTGTACCTATTAGATAGGAGGCTGGGTGGAACCCTGAGCCAGTCTGGATGACATAGTGAAGAGAAAATTCTTGAGTCTACCAAGACTCAAACTCCAACATCTCAGTCGTATGACCTGTAGCCAGTCACTATACCAACTACCCTATCCTGGCTCCCCAAATATTAATACGTATCTTATAGAAACAGTTTGTACAAATGTTAAAATAGACTTAACTGGCCTTGGACTATGTCCATCACAAGTCTTTGGTTTATTTGAGCCTTTGACTGAAAAGGACCACCCTAGTGGCACGTACTAGCAAGTCCAGAGTTCCTTGGAGACAAACGCATTTTCAGAGATAAACCCACAGTACTTCTCAGATTCCCGTCACATGAATGAAGGTATAGTGTGAAACCACATTTTTTCCTTTAAACACCAGTATATCAGACTCGATGCCATCCATTAATAGTAATGCTGTAGTAAGTAATTAACATGGAGCCAATGTCTACAGCTGTGGCAGCTTTAACATACATAATCTGTGCTGATCAAATCAGCTCATGGTGTACAAAGGTTCGATGTGCTGTCAGCAGCTGTGACTATATAACACTACTGGATAATAGTAAATATTGAATTAGAAAGAACATGGAAGGAAGCAGTTGTGTCCCAATCTCAGGTGTTACCTCAGCTTTTGCTTGGAGGACTCAGACTCCCCCCCCCCACAATATATTCAAGATTCAAATTGGGCGTCTTCAGGAGCATCACTGCCCGAAGCAAATTTCCTGTAGAAGTTCTTGGTAACAGCAGTGTTGAACCTTCCTTATTCAAATCTCAAGGTATTTTATACAATAATTTCTGCCATAAAAAGTTTTCCCTGTGCTTAACTAATTAAGCAATATGACATGAAGATGTATGGGGGAGTGGATATATAGATCCATGTTTTCTTGAACTCAGCACTAGTTGGATGTGAGCGGTCAGCTTCATGTCTTGGCCACTTTACTGCTTGGGAAAGAGACTCTGGTACTCATTTGACAGGTGGCTGGGTGGGCCTCATAGCTGTTCTGAACGATATGGAGTTGAAAATTCTTTACCCTACTGGGACTCGAACTCCTACCTCTCACTCATATAGCCTGTAGCCAGTCACTATACAGACTGTGCTATCCTAGCTCCAATTAACAAAACAGGCCTACAAATAAAATAATAAAATACATACATAGAAGAATAAGAATAATAAATAATCTTCTTTGGCCTAGATAATTTTGGTTAACCAAAATGTTTCATATTCTGTATAAGAGATGTGATTATAATTATTTTTTATTACCATTATTTAGAAGTCATTAGAAGCATTCTGTCTGCTGGTATATAATGCCATGTAGTCCACTGAAGCAACAGTTACCTCATCCAATTACTCGTACTTCTCAAGAAAGTCATAAATATGCTGAGGCAAAGCTTTGCTTGCTGCTTGTTTCAAGCTGGTTTCTTGCTTGGCTTACTCTTCAGCCCTGAAGATTGAGGTGACATGCTGCCCTGAAATGCAAGTTGACTTTCAATGGACTACACAGCGTTATATCCCAAAAGACAGAACTCTTGTAATGACTACTAGTTTATATGCTACAATTGCTTGCTGCCTGCTCCATGCTAGTTTCTGGACTTACTCCTCAACCCTGAAGATGGAGGTGATATTTTCCTTGAAAAAATTCACTGACTTTCAATGAACTATGTGGTGTTATATTCCAGAAGGCAGCACTCTTCATAACCACTGCTTTGATAACCTCAAATACTATTCAGTATCATTCCACTTCTGAAGCAATGTTACAAATCACAGTATGTACTTTTGGAACAACTTCTTATGAAGCTTGATAATGCCAAGAAAGTTACCTCAGGACAGGAATGCAAGCAATCAAGGCAGCCAACTTGACCACAGTATGCACTGGGAGCAAGTGACAATTTTGACTGTCAGAATTTATAGAACACATTTTTAATATCAGAAAATTCTATATTCCACAGCATATATATTGTACACACTGGTTCATGGACATGAAAACAAAAATCCAGATCTTTTCAATGGACAGTGCCATACCAATACTTGGCGGTATGTCGCTGGAGGTAATAAAGGTTACATGAACCACTATAAAATGTGGATGGGACACAGCAACAGTGCGATGCAAGGATCCCACCTTCCTTACAACACTAATTCACTGACTCACAATCCCAAATGCATGACCTCATTACTTCTCAAGAAGGCTATAAATATTGTGATGTGTTGTGCTATGCAGGACACCCCTCCCCCCCGCCAGCGGTGATGTAACACCATCGGATCGCTGTTGTTACTAAGGTAACAGGCAAGTCAACCCTCCTTCACCTACCCCGCCAGTGGTGACGAAACACGGGATGCCCCCCGTTGCTACTCAGCAGTAAACAACTCCCGACAGCATTGCTAGGCTGTCGGCAAACACAGCATCAGACAACAGTGGTGCCTATTACGTAACTGTTTTCCTGTTGTCCGGCTGAGGGTTTATAAGGGAACTACACAGCCGGCGAAGACAGTTCTCAAGGCAGCAGCCTATGAGTTGAGTTAGTTACGAGTTGGCCAGGGAAGAGTATGCAGCCAAGTAATTGTAATACTGCAGACAGCAGTAGTTGTGAGATTGTAAACTGTGTGATTGTAAGAGTGAATGTGAAATAAAATTCGCTATATCCAATAAGGCATGAAGTTATTTGTCGCGTTATATACCCAACATGTGACAATATGTTGCTGACAGCAGGAAGGTGTGGAACTAGAAAGAAAGACAGCACAACAACATAGCCAGAAATAGAGTGGTGATGACTCCATGCCACTACAATTAACAACTAACTCATGATGGCGACTGACTGTCAATTCAAGTCACAGTCATGTTACAATTGACTATGTCTGCAGTCTGTCCTGGTGTCAAGCCCCACCTGAGGCTGAAGACCAGATTTTTTTTTTATTTCAGACAGTCACAGGTTATGTGGGGCACTATCTTTGATGAGAGGATGGGTCTATTGTTTAAAATTGCTGCTGGGCTTTACCAGCACAGTCATTCTCAAGTCTGAGTTCCACAGGACTCATGACCGTATTTTACTGCCTCAGATTCAAGACAACCTGGAGGGCTGTGACTGGTATTTCCACATCTGCAACAGCCCACTCAGGTGTACCCACATGAGAACACCAAAGCTGAATTCTGGTCACAATACTGACAACTTTCTCTCAGACCCACCTTGTAAACAGAAGAACAAACAGCCAACAGTACACTAGTTTCACCCATGATGGGAGACAATTTCAAAATGTGTGGGACATAGTGTCCTTCCCTTGACACTAACAACAGAGACAGTCCCATTTTATAGAAAAACATGTATAATTCCAAGCAGTTAAGCATTTTCTCTTTTGGGGAACAAAGATACTAATCAGCCAATAGCTCAGCAGAATTTCCAACTGTCCATGGTCAAACAGGTAAAGAGGGCACTCATTAAACTTTGCTGTTTGAGCAAAATAATCCTACAGTTAGAGAAACCAGAAACATACTGCTTATTCATAGCAGATTATGGCCTTCACTCCTTGTGACCACACACTACAGCCACAAATGCTTCTATACAGTCTTATACTGTAACCAATGCATTTCACAGAAATTTGTATGACATAAAACATAAATAATCATACTGGGGGATGTGATCAACTGAATCTGCAGTATACCGAGCAGTATATTGAGGGCCTACTATATCTGTGTTAATAAGAGAGTTAGATAATTGAAAAGCCAGCTATTATCTTTTACAAAAGTGAACTGTGATATTTACATATGTCACAGTATGTAGATAATCAAGTGACAGTACCTCAAAAGGAAATAAGATGCAAAGAGTGAAATTTGTGATCTCACAGCAGTAAATATGAAGGTGGAACATGGGTCATGACTGGGATATGACATGTGGTTGCTTCATCGTTACCAACAATTCAGAGGATCCTGTTGTCTCCGTTTTCATTGTTCTATCCTAAAGATGGAAACAAGAGGTTTCTCCAAAATGCTGGTTACTATCTACCAGACTATATGGCATCATATCCCAGGAGACAAGTAATCTTCAAAGAGTTTTACATAATTTATAGCACACAGTACAAAGTTATAACTTTACAAGACTCGGTGAAGGAAACAGAATTTATGGCTTTTAAAGGAAAAGTAGCCCATCAAATCAACAAGTGTGATTAACAAATTAATTCTCGAAAAACTCTCAAGAGTCACTTACTTAAACCATCAAATATATAATACATAATCACAGAAGTGGGATAAGCACTAAAATATCGAGGCTGAATACCACATTTTGTGCCAGAAGAATAATTCTAAGAAACTCCCGATTCTCGATTTCTAACCTAACATTTCTGAGGAAAAAACTACTTATTCAGGTTTATAGGATTACCTGGTTATTCAGAGTCGATTTGTCCATTCTGTGAAACAAATTACTTCATGTTATGCCATCTAAACTTCATGTTGTCTTCATACATCACCAAATGCTCATTACCTCACATTTTTCAGCCAAGACAATACGCCACCAATACCTGGTCGTTCGTTCTATGACGGATCAGTCTTCTGCAAACGTGATATTTCAGTGCGGCAAACTATGAGTTCAGAAATTTCCTTATTCCTATGTTCCAAGGCCGTCGTGTCCTGCCCTCAAATCAATTGATTAGACTTCCAGTCTTGCCTTAATTTTAACTGTAACTCTATTTAATTCAGTGAATTCTAAAACTAAAATTAATATAACCTTTCTAACACATTAGCAGCAAAAAAAATCCCATTTTCTAGAATTTGTATATTTGCCACGCCATGATTTTGAGATTTTACTGTTTTGTCTGGAGATGCTGAGAGGATAAGCCCCACTGTCTTGCATTGTACAAGTCTGAGAGAGTGTAAAAGGCCTTTAAAAATACATACACTATTATCTTAGAAACACAACAGTTAAATTCGAAAAACGTCAACAAGGTAAATATTTAGAGAGCACTATTTTCTAAGATGTGATACCATGCAGTCTGGTACAAGTTTACAGATGGTTCAAAAAATGTACTTCTTTGTTGCTTGCTTCTCATATTTATTGTCTGATCCTGATGATGGAAGCAGAACATTCCTCCAAAATGTTGGTAAACTTTTATATGTTTTCAAATCTCTGATGACACATATTTCCATTGTAAAAGTAAAAAGTAAAGTAAAGGCATCCCTGTAACAGGCTGTGGAGGGCCACAGGGCTGTGAGACGTTGAGGTTCACACGTTTTCTAGACAATCGGCTCATAGATGGTGGCAAGGTTGTCAGCCCTACTCGCTGGCCACCCTTTACCCCCAAGAATATTCCTGGTACTCATTTCTGTTAGAGGCTGAGTGACCCCAAGGCCATAGTGTGGCTGAAAGGATTAGATCGATTGAAAAACAAAATCCAATGACCTCCATTGGGACTTGAACTCGCGACCTTCCGGCTTGTAGCGTAGTGCCTCAACCAATTACACTGCCACGTAGCAGGTACTGTTAATCACAAGCTTCTCCCTTCTCCCCAAAGGAAACTAGAGGTACAGCTCAGCCTGGCCAGACAGAATTTAGGGGCGACACAACTTCTACAGTGCATGCATCAAAGGCCTGGGATGAACATGAAAAATGTTGTTCATTTTTCTTGAGAACATTTGAATTAGAAGATGGTTTGTGATGAATATATCAAAATGTGAATCTGTTCATGAATTATTATACTCAACACAAGCTTCTTGTAATTAAATTCTGAATGCACTTCAGTCTGGGTTACTCCATTTTTAGTAAGGTCTGGAGGGAACAACATCTCTGGAAGCGATAAATGATCAGTGTACTTTTCAAGCTGGTACACATACTGAAACAATATGTACCAGAAAAATTCCTAAGAGTCAGAAGTCTCACCATCATCATCGGACCATTCCTATAGACTCAACAGTGCTGAAACCTTCTTTCACATTGCCACTTCCTTCCCTTTCCATTTGTAGCTAGCCATGTGTTAAATGAAAACAAAAAACAAACCATTAATTATGTTTGCCTGAGAGTCTCTATGATAATGTGCCTGGCCCCAAGCGTAAAATATCTATCACAAAGTTAGGTGTGAAGATCATGTCACTGTGGTGCACAGCATTCTTTCAGTCTTTCCCATCAGTGGCACGCTTATTCCAGTCTTCACATAACTTGACAACTCACCTTCGATATGTGATGGATGATAAGGACAGTCACATTTTCATTATAAATCATCAGCTATAGCCACTGAAAGGTACCCTTATGATTTTTACTTTTGAAATTAAGCATTTGTTAGAAGCAATCTGTGGAATACTGGTTTTAATTATGTTTTACTATAATTCTGAAAACAAAATGCCAGCAGAGCAAGTGGCAGGTCTTGCATGTACAAGCCAGATATTTAGTTTTCCAAGATTTTGGAAGCAGACAGGGTTAAGCCTATAGATCTGTAGCTCTGTCTGGTGCACCCACTGCCTTCTTATGCGAGGGCTGCATAAGACAGCAGCAGTATTACATATTATGCAGATTACTAACTTGTGAAATGTGTGATTTCTGTTTAATAATTTTCATCATAAATTATAAGTGACAATATTCTAGCCAAGTGAAATTAACAATTACGTTTCAATTTCAAGATATGAACTTTCAATATACTGGAAATGATAATATTATTAATTTGTCTAAAATTTTACTCTGACACTCATTTATTTTCCCTTTGCTTTCATGAACTAATTCTGAGTATATTTACACTTTGGCTGTCATGAAGAATAATAAGCATCAGACAAATGAAACTGGAAGAACATTACAATCAAGAGCAAGAATAAAATGCAGAACCTCCTAAACTATACTTTTAGTATCTCCCCCCACCAGGTCTTACCCAGTTGTCATTCAAATATGGTTCGAATACCAGACAATATTCACTTTAAGGAAGGACAAGATCTTTCACGAAGCTTGCCACATAAATATGAGAGAAGTGATTTCCTTACTTCAATGTATTCAGAAATGCTATTTTTAATTTTTCCCAATTAATCCTATATACAAGAAATTTGATATAATAAAACAGTGTGTTTATCTACATGAATTCTGTTAATAATGTTATATTTTAGCGTCCTGTTGCACTGATTCCTGTCCATGATGTGTATTTTTGCTAACTGTCTTACAGTGCACACAATTTCACCTTTCTCTTAACTTTTACACTACATGTTTCGGCACTAATGTGCCATCTACTTGAATTCAATGAAAAAAGGAAGAATTTATAATAGAAAACATTTATATCAAGAAAATGATTGATCTGAAGTCTGACCATGAATGTTCTGTTTTTATTCATTGAATTTTATCTGTTCCTTTCACAAAATGAAATCCTAGATGTAAGCCTACATGTATATATTTCACACCAACATCAAGCAGCATCTAAGGTTTGCAAGTATGGAGCCATATTCATGGTTTAAGGCACAAGTGTTGAATGTCCAAAATTGTGATTTTTCAGTAAACTCAGTTTAAAGATGCACCAACATAATGTTCTGGTATGACATGCAACATTCTTAACCCTTTCTCCCTACATCAAGATAATTCTGGCCCTTACATTATTTTCTGCAACACAAACGTATCATCATTAACATTCAGGGGCATACCATAACAAATGATTTACCAAAATTGCCATATTTTGAGTGTTCCACTGTTAATAAGAACTTAAAAATGTGAAAGAAGTGTATATGTTGTTCCATGAAATACAAGTAATCTCATATTAATGACTTTGTAACTTGTTCTCTGTTTCTACTAAGGTTTCTTGATTGGGAGATACTGTTGGTGTGCTTAAATTTTTTTGGGTTATAAAATGTGTGGACCATCAATCAAGACGTGAGAGGGACCAGTAACTGAAGAATACCAAACAAATAAGATGATGGATACAGGTATGCATTTTGTAAGAATCTTATGCACAAGACAACATAATTTGTATATTGATTATTTGTTCTTTGAAAGTGTCCTCTGCTTCTCTGCAAATTCAACCAATTTCTCCTGCACTGCAAGTCCCTTACGACGGCGTACAGCATCCATGTAGCGCCGAGCTCTATTTCCAGTGTCAGACTTCTCTCCATAGTGCAGATATTCTTCCTCTGTGCGAGGTGTCCAGAATGGATCTATCTCGATCACCTATAAGAACAATTCTGCCATCAATGCAACTTATCTTACATATTACTCATTCAATATCATCTTTGGGTTTAAATTCTAAAAGTATACAATAAAATATGAATAATTTACATCTGAGATGCAAATAAGATTTAAAATTTGTGACAATGGTGTATTGCAAATGTTATGTTTGTGGACATTATCCATCATCCTGTTTTTATTTAAAACAATTTAAATTTGTGTTTTTTTGTGCTGGTTCCATTTGGAGAATTTGTTCCTTCAGTGATGACTTCTATTCTGATCTCTGGTGCTAGGACTCATACATGTGGAATTCTTAATATTTTAATATTTTGTCTTAGCTCTCGCAGATGGTTTGTGCTGTGCTTGGCTTATATACCCTATCTTGTGTTGGTGCAAGTTTTTGGAGATAAGGACTAGTTCTGTTGTTTGGGCCCAACTTGGTAGGTTTTACATGAAGATGTAGACAGAATCTGGTTGTGCTTTAAAATAAAAACAGGATGATGGAACCGGTCTAGAAACATAATATTTGTATTTGAGATGCATTTGTCCTTGACAGGCAAAATATAAAGAAAATATGCTTTAACTCCCCAGAGTTTTCAACTTGGGAGCAAAGCTTCCTGGCCATGAAGCATCTTATTTTGAAGACGAATATTTAATATGGGACATATGGGACAGCTGAATATTGTGAGAACTGAGGTTCTCCCAGCAGTGAATATTAAAATTCAAGTCTTCAGGAATATAATGGTGTAATGCCATGTAGTTCAGCTGATAGGTACCTTGCTGCCTCCATCTGTAAAGTGAGATACGAACAACTATAAATTATTAATTATAAAATTCAGTGACCCATTTCTGCACATAATTTCAACTAGTAGAGATTCTGACTACAGCACATTTTTGCAGATATAACCTCAAAATCTCATATGATTGCTATATTTTTAATTCTAGACATGTAAACAATATGTGAGAATTTGAGTTTTCATGGCAGTGATGATTCATACTATAATCTTCTGGATTATGACACTGTATAGTCTGGTAGGTGGATCCTAACAAAACATATGCCTCCTTCTTCAGGCAGAAGCCTTCCACCCTGAAGATGAAGGCAGTATGTTCCTCTGGGAAGCAGGTATACACCTGTTAGACTATGCACTGTCATAGCCCTGAATATTTCATACAGAATTTGCAGGTACTTCAAATGAGCCATCTTTAAAGAAACTTTGACATGGTTTTTACTCATTAACTTTAAAACAAAAAGTGTGTACATGTTTCATGCAACCACTGTTATTTCATGCTGTAGCAAAAGAACTATCTTAGCAAGGTAAGAATGGAGAGCTATCCCTGTAACAGGTCATGGAGGCACATAGGGTTGTGAGATGTTGAGGATCCCACATTTTCTACACAATCAGTTCACAGATGGCAGTGAGGCTGTCAGCCTTATGGACCGGCCGCCGTTTATCCCCCAGGAAAATTCCTGATACTCATTTCTGTTAGAGGCTGAGTTGACCCCAGGGCCACAGTGAGGGTTGAAGGATTATAGCAATTGAAAAAAAAGCAATAAATTCTTCAGAAATCGAACTCATGATCTTCTGGCTTGTAGCATAGTGTCTCAACCAGCTACGCTACCGCATGCGCGTATTTGTTGAACATATGCTGCCAGACAAAATTTCTAGACAGTATACTAACTGGCGCTACAGTTGGCTCCATCCTCTACATTTGCTGGACCCCTGTGCTGGTGTTACAGATGGCATAAAACTGGAATGTAAAAGGGTGAGGTGATCATGATTTTCATACAATGTTCCATGCAAATCTGTCAGCTGGTTCACACGTTATTTGCAGGGGGAAAGAGACAGGAATTGTCTTTCTTCTGTCATGAAACAACAAGAATGGGCTATAAGTTATACTATTAGACTACATTTGGGAAGGTCTAGAATGAGACAGTGTGTGGCCAGAACAGAATTTCAATGGAAGAAGAATAAATTGTTACCAAATTATTAGAAGATGGTTTGACAAAAAAGTGTCACCATCACAGTGCAGCAGGAAATTTGGCGTCAACTCTTCAGTTATATGCTCCCAGACAATGGTTGTGCGCTTGGCACCCCTTGAAACACATACGCAAATATCAGTCACTCTTTGGAAAAAAAGAAAATTCATAAACATGATTCACTTAATATGTGAAATTTAGATTTGTCCCTGACATTTAAGTATTGCTAATACAAAGCATAGATTTCGCGTATCCTGGACATCTGAGCTCAGAGAACTGGTCACTGCTCTGGAGACTGCTCGCCTGCCACAAAAATGGCCACTAAATGTAACTGATGAATAGACCTCCCTTATTGACGTCATCTCAATGTATGCCATCTGCACAAAGTAGGTAGTTCTTGGTAATTACAGGCGAACACACCGCTTGGATTGCTGTTTGTAGGAAAAGTATTTATTTTTATTTTTTCTTATCAGCTTCCTTGTTTGCCAGTCCCTCGTGAATATAGAATTGGTGCACAAAATCGGCGCGGGTAACGTATATAATGTGCGTCATCGCTTGAGTACTCTCATCATAGAAGTAGCTGCTACGTTGTGCGCAGGCGCACATTGTTCAGTCTCTATCTATCAATACCGGTCTTCACAGCTTCTGAATTTGCTGGGGACTCTATCCATTCTTCGGTTTGTGGGACCCGAGTCCAGTATACGTTTCCAGAATTTTTAGTGCTGAATTCCTTCGCTAAAGGCCTTGGACTGGATTGCATAGCTGTTTTAAATTCCTGCAACCAGATGATATATATAACATACATTTGGCGCCAATTCAATTGCGTAATGTCTTTCTTGGAAAACAACTGGGTAAGTCAACAGTCCTCCTGAGTTAATTAAAGATGAAGATACATGGCCATGGAGATCTCTGTATTCTGGAATGTGGCGCCATGTAGTATGGTGGAAAGTTGTCCAATTTCAGGACGAGTTTTAACACGTACACACACGTGCTCCAAACACGGCCCTGTCCGGACGTCAGCGGTCGGTCATCAACGCCGTCATCATCATCAGCAGTAGCATGTCCTAAATTTAACCGTCAATACCTTTACGCAACACAGCACTGGATGTTAACCTGTAATTACTTATTAATATATTATTACTGAAGGCGAGTCGGCCAGTCTGTCTTGGTGTCAAGCACCCATCTGGGGCCCAAGACCAGATTTTTATTACTGTCAGACAGATCGTAGAGGCCCATTGGGTTGTGTGATGTCAAGGCTGCCACATTCTCTAGACAATCGGCTCACAGTTGGTGGTGAGGTTGTCAGCCTTACGCGCCGTCCGACCACCCTTTAGCCCCAGGAAGACTCCTGGTACTCATTTCTGTTAGAGGCCGAGTCGACGCCAAGGCCACAGTGCGGCTGGAAGGATTAGATCAATTGAAAAATAGAATGACATCATCCACTGGGAAGAGAACCCGCGACCTTATGTCTCTAACATAGTGCTTCAATTAAGTAAGCTACTGCGTGCCGTTGCCGTTCATGTTACAAAAACTGGAAATGAAATGTCTCAAAACCCCTAACATATACACACACACACAACACATATACGGGATAAGAGGGGTGTTCTTTCTTCAACGTATCAAACCTAAAACACCTAAGTACGCTAGGACGAATGGTTCTCTAGCATTAACCAAACAACTGCCTTTTCGAAGTTTAAAAAATCTAGGGTATGGTGGGTTTCGAGTGTCTGAAACCTCCCCCAAGGAGGTCCTCCTCCAGCGCGACAAATCTGGTCGAAATACATGCACTGGTGCGGAAATGTATAAAGAGCAACTAGTCGCACAGTCTTCTTTACAGATAAAATAGATTACGGATCGTTCCTTCTTTACATAAGATCATGTGATTCCCGGTGGGTGGGTATTTTATTGTTTCTACAATATAATTGACAGTGTACCAACTTGGGTGGTAAGATATACAGCACATGTAACCTGAGGATGATTACACTGTAGTCGAAACATGACAGTCTATTAAATAACAAAATCAACATCCAGTGTAAGGTGAAAATGACATTGCGGCTATTAGCTAGTTACATCTGGACTACGTCACTGTGTGCGTGTAGGAGACGGATAAAGATGGACAGGCAAACCTAAAGCAAAGGGACTCTGCACTACACACTTATGAATACAGAATCTACAGCTGTCCTTGTGCTTGTCTAATGGACGTATAGGTCCATGTAATCTTAAACTCAACACTAGTTAGATGTGAGTGGCCAGCTTCACGCTCCGGAGAAAGTGCCCCCGCTACCCACAAGAAAAGAGGCTGGGTGAGCCATACAGCAGGTCTGGACGGCATGGGAAAGGGAAAAATGTCGCCCCTATCGGGACTAGAACTCCAACCCTGGGCAGTCCACCCCGTAGCCAGTCGCTATAATGAATCCGTTATTATTATTATTATTATTATTGCAGGGGAAGTTAATTTTAATGCATATATCGTGGGTCTATCTGAATTAACTCTTAATTATTCCATTATCATCTTGAAGGTTTAATGCTCGCATTGAAGAAAGACTTTCTACTTTGTGCAAAAGGCACACCGTCTAGGGGCAAACAAATTTCGATTTCGTGAAACAGAAGTAGAAAGGAGCATTTTTTAAGCATGAACAAATGTCACTGAGCCAGTCAGAGCCTCCGATACGTCGGCCTATAGCACAAGCCCACAACACCGTGTCTTCGCCCCACAACACGATCAACATCAAAATGGGCCCTTTATTCTTTAGGTGCCCCTAACTTCACTGGAGACAGGGAACAGGGTTATATACACCTACAGCGTCTTTCTCTTCTTCTTCTTCTTATTATTATTATTATTGTTATCTTAATGGTAGAGGCAATGAAGCCTGTTGGTCCCTGTACTTAATTACGTACCACACCATAAAGATATATGAGGGAAAGAAGGTACAAGCTCCACCAGATGGAAGTTAGTGGGTAGCTTCACGTCCCTGCCGATTTACCCCCGGGTAAAAGTCCTCGATACCTATTGGATAGGAGGCTG